GCATATTGTTTTTGAGAACAAGGTCACAGGTGATAGTGTTGTTTTTGCGATTTTTGCACAATAAAGCGTTATTTGGTTGACTTTATTTATTTTTTATTATTTTTTTTTTTTTCATTATTTCAATTTTTACCATTAATACCCAATATGGAGGTGGACTTGGTTGACCGGCACCACAAGTATTCATAATTTATTTGTTACGAGAATAGCAGGGGTAACTAGAAATATTGTAACAATTTTGCTCCGAAATAGCTTTTACGAGATTATTCCACAAGCAAAATACCCCCGAGACTTTCTATTCTATATTCGGCTTTTGCCAAAATCCAATGGTTGATCATTCCATTATCCCTTTCCAACATGCGAGCATCAGCAGTAGCGCGTACTCGTATACACTTGATGGGTCGGTTTTTACGATTGGTAAATTAGAAAAGAAAAAAATTTCGAAAGTTTATGTAGATTTATTTGGCCTTTTTTTTTTCTTTTGCTTTTCGTTTGATTTCAAAATAAGTGAGGTCAATACCTGTACGCTCTACGCAGCTCTTTTTCATTTGTACCCGGCATAAATCATCGCATCGGGAAACGGTTATTAATACACCTTCGAGGAGCGCGATAAAACTGTGTTTCGCTCATTTGAATTAGTAAAATCAAACGATGGAATTACAAAATTAAGCCTTTTACACACAAAAAACTGTTATTAAAATAATCGAGAAAACTATAAACACGTACTTACGCATGTTTATACTAAAACAATCCGTCAAAACAGTATAAACATGGTAATTCAACAGAAAAGAGCAATACAAATTACTTCTAAATTATTATCCGTATTGTCAACATATACGTAGGGAAGCGCAAATGCAGTGAGACACGGTCGTAAAATCGGGCGTTCGTAAAGTGCGACGTTGGCGGCTTTATCTCTAGGAAAAAAATTTACAATATCTCCTCTTTATCTGAGAGAGAGAGAGAGAGAGAAAAAAAATTCGTGGTGTACGCGCTGCGAGTTGCGCAAACAGAAGAAAACTTAATTTCTACCCAGAGAGAGAGAGCCGAAACTTTTTCCCTCGTTCCATGTGCATCGGAGAGCGCACTGCGCAACGCCGTCATAAAAATCTCGGTGCCAGTCGAGCGCAAAAATTAACGTCATGTGCAAGTGTACATCAGCAGATAAAGCGAAAACAATGAGGAAGGAGAAAAAAAAACAACAAAAGATAAAATTGAAAAATACGTGAATCGATCGTGCAAAAGCATCGACTCTTTTCTCCGTTTTAACAAGTAAACATGCAAAAGTCCTTGCGAATTCTCTCTGCTCGCTCGCCACATTGGCCTCAACGTACACCATATTAAATTTATGTGCGCGCGTATAATATACGTGTGCACGCGAACGAGAGCTCAAAAACTCAATGACGAGGCTACTATACGACGACTACAATACACACTATCGACTACGACAACAAACACTCGATTCTTGGGTAACCCCGGGTTAAAAGAGCGGCCGATACTTAACAAATGCGTGCTCGCTGCTACAGCCGAAATTGCGCTTCGTTAAAAAGCCTTCGATACCCAAGTACATATATATCCACACAAGTCGCCGAAAAAAAGCGTAAACTCGTGTACATACCTACTCGCGTACGCATACCTACATGTATACGCTTGAAAAGAAAAAAAAAAAAAAAAAAAAAAAAAAAAAAAAGAGAGACACATGGACGCCCGTACACCCGTTCGCTTTTATAAACCTTGATTGCGAAACTTTGGCTCGCGGCTTTTGCTACATTACAACGTGCTAAAGATTGTATACAAGAGGGCGAGAGAAAGAAGGAAAAGCCGTCGTCGTCGCCTGAACTACTACAACACACATTACGCAGAGACTCTTGCAGTTTTTCCTCCTCTCCTCTCTAGGGGGGGGGGGGGACATCAACCGCGTCAAGCCAGCTTTCTTGACACCAGACACGTAATATAACAAGCCAAAGACACCTAAAATCGCCGCGCATTAGAAACAGGAGGAGGGGGGTACAGCCAATAGTGATGGCCTATAATGGTTTTTAAATTGTAGCACATAAAGCTTATACCAGGGGGTGGGGGGGGGGTTCTTATGCAACACATCAGCTTGGCTAACTCTCGGGGGAGGGGGGAGATGTATAATACTCGCGAGAGGTCTCTCGCGGAAATGCTGCTGGTGCGCTGCCGTGGACTCGACGCTGCAACTATTGTAATGGGCAGTGGGCGAGCGAGCGGGTTACCTGATAACGCGCGCGTGCCACGCGCGAGCTAAGAAACAAATGCGTAAAAAGAGGTATAGGTACGTTAAAGCTGTTTTGTTGGCGGCAGAAGCACCGCGGTGATACGGCCGCTCGTTGGTGCTCTCTTGTATGATTTTTCGTCCCCTTCTACTCCTCTGTTTTTGTTTTTGTCGCTCGGTTGTTTGCCGGAAAGAAAAAATGAGACGTTGTTTTTTTTGTTGGCAAAATTGTTGGGTTATTAATTTTGTTTTACGCGCACCGTTGAGACGACGTATACCAGAGTACGGAGAACTGTCAGCGGTTTTTGTTTTTTTACTTTTCAGCACTCGAGTCGATGGTCCAACCATTAAAAAGTTAATTCTGTTGCCATAGATTTTATTTATTAAAAAAAAAGATACTTTTGGTAAATTGGTACAGTAGTCTTTTGATGTTGACTGCCATAAAAATCTTACAAGTCACATACGAGACACATCGGAATCTGATGCTGTACGTAAATTCATTTGAATGACGTTGGTCCAACGGACTCGTCATTAATGAGTACTACAAGTTAAATTTAAATAGTTAAAAGATCGGTTGAAATATGAAATAGTTAGAAATTGGTACGCAAAATCTATGAAATTATTGTTGATTTAAAAAATTGTAAAACATATACTCGCAGTAACGCACACGACTAAATACCTCAGAATAATACGGATATTGGACTAGGTCAATTTGCAAGATTGAAATCGTGAGTTTTTAAAACAGTACCTGCAGTTGCTTTTTTGCAAGATTTTGTAAATTTCATGGGGTAACCTTTTCTGATTAATTCTAAATTGTCAATTCATCTGATAAACACGAAATTAATTATTGTTGAAAAAAAAAATGTATTACTCTATTCTACATGTAGATTGGTTTTTTTTAATAAAAATTCTAAAAAGCTAAAAAAATATATTTCAAAAATTAATCTTAGAAGAAAAACAATTGAAAATATAAGAAAAATATGAAAACTTGATGAGTAGAAAGATAAATAGAGAATATTAAAATGGATTTAATGTGTTACAAAAAATATAGTGGTATTTTTAGTTTGTGTATTTTCCCATTTTTTGTATGGAATTTTATTTTTGACCTTTCAAACGTCCGTAATAAATTTTTTAGAATATTCTTTTTTTATAGCACAACAATAGCTCTCTCGCAATCGTGCGAAATTCACTACTCATGAGTCTCTCCGCTGCCGAAGGAACGATCTTTTCATAAACTCTTTTTTCTCTTTTTTTTTGCAATTCTAAATAATAACTTTTATACAAGGTTTAAACTTTTTTATCTTGATAGATCAACTTCAGAATTTTTTTAACATAGAATAGTTAGTCAATTACATTACATTTAAGAATGAGAAAAATGACAGCAGATAAACTGATGACAGCTTAGCGAACGCACGTGTATGACGCATGAGCAGGTATTACGTATTGGCAGTGTTGTCAAGTTTACTGTCTCAGTATCGTACATAACTAATAAATTAATAAATTTTAATGAGATAGTCAGGAAAAGATTTTTTTTTTTCTTATGTATATTGTTTAGAGATTTTTTTGCTACTTATTACGTAAAGTTGTTTAAGAATTCTTTGCAAAAATTAGTCGTTAAAGAAAAAAAAAAAAAAATTGGCTAGTCCTCATTGAACGTTTAAAAAATTACATTGTAATCTCTTTGTAATTTCTATTAATTAAATAATTCTGGACCACTTTAATTATTATAAGAATTTTTTAACTTTAATTTATTTAGTTAATTTTTTCTTCTAAACAAGAGATTCTCTAACGAAAGATATTAACAAAATTTATAAATATACTAAAAACGTATTCTGTCATAGCTGAAAACATTGATAAATGTACCTCAATACGAACAGGAATGTGGAGTAAGAACAAGAGCTTAAGAATTTAAGGTGTGTACACAACTTAGTGGAAAGCGTTCTTCTCGAATTTAATGGCACATTTACAGGCCCTGATACATTTGACGCTGTATCGTAAATATTGATATACATTGAAAATTCAGTATCCACTGGAAGATAATAAATAATATGTTTTGTAAATTACAGTCTATTTGTGAGGAATTTTCTGAAATTAAATCAAATATGTACATAAATCGTGATTTTTTTACGATCAGCCTTTGTTATAGTATAAATCTATTTTTGCAAAATACGTCAATTATTCATTGTAGGCAGCAGATTTGATAAAAAAGGTAAATATCTGCAATTACCTTGCAGTATTTGTCAAACGTAATGATACCTATTGCAATATTTAGAATAATTCTTACTCTATAAAATCTTAATGAAATACACGTCAAAAGGATGC